CATAACATCCAAAACTAGCTAGATCTAACAAATACATCATCAATATTCAAGCTTTATACCTCTAGAAGAAAGATCAATGTGAACAAGGTCTAGATCTACAAGCTCCAATGCAACCAACACTTATCCAATGAGCTCCTTCTTCTCCAAGATGCACCAAGAACGCTCCAAAACACTTAAAAACTCAAGGATCTCACAAATGGGGCTAGGGTTTCGACATTAGGGTTAGAGAGGATGGATGCTGAAAGAAATAAGGTTTAGGAATTTAAGGGGCTTAAATAGGGCTCAAAATCCCGAAATTAGGGCTTGGGTTTTGATCGCATATGCCCAACTTACTAGGTTGATCCTCCACGATCAGTCATTGCCTAGTACGCCCAACATACTCGGCTTAACCTAAAAACTTGTTAACTTCTAACGATCATAACTTATTCGTTCCAACACCGTTTTTGATGAAGTTTATATCAACATATAGGTATTGAAGATCCCCACAAGATTATCTAGATATCTTGGACTAAAAACTTCTCGAACAAAAATCCATATTTCATGCAAGAACTCGGCCTATGTCTTTTCCCTTTCTATGCTTCGGCCCAATATGCAGTTCAAGGGTTAAATCTCTTAACCAACATTAACCCACCTCTTGGACATTTTAGACTAACCTCCACATCCTCATACCCTAATTTTGTCCCTTAGCCTTTGTGTGTTGCTTTTGAGCTCTTGTGAAGTATTTTTGGGTGTGTTTGTGCATTTTGAAGTGGAAGGATAAGATTGAAGACTCATCCTTTGGAGAGGAGCTTAGAGATCCAACTTTAACATCTCCATTTCGTGGGTTTTGAGGTATAAATTCCATAACTTGTCAACTAATTTCATAGATCTATTTCTTGGCTTGTTTTTGGTTGTTTTGGTCCCTTTTGGTTGGTTCTTGTGAGCTAAGTCGTTTATGGAGTTTAGCCTTTTAGATCTGGACATATTAAGGGTTCCTTAAGCATAAAGATGCAAACTTTATGGTGTTTGTGGATTCATGCATGTGTTAAGTCATTTGTTAAGCTCTTTTGAGCTCTAGATCCCCATTAAGCCATGCATACACGTAAAGTTGCCAACTTTACATGATAAGTCATCTTTTGGGTCAAGATATGAGAGTATGGGGTAGCAGCTGAATGGATTAAGCACTTTTTGATGAGGTTTGACGAACTGGGGAGTACGTTGGGCTTCTCGGCTTTGGGCCATGTTTGGACTCTAGATGATTAGGGCCTTGTTGGGCCATCATGTCTATTTTGGGCTGCTGCTTTTATTTTGGGTTCACTTGGTTGAAGGCCACAAAGGGACTTGGGCCCAATTTGGAAAATTTGGCCATATTTGGGCTTTGGATGATTATTTTGGAATTTGGACCTTTTGGACAGTTAGATTGGGCCTTGGCCTTGGGCCAAGTTGGGTAAATGGTAAAATGGTCTTTTACCCTAGTTTGGACTCTTAGTGTGAGTCGGGATCCAATTATGAATTGGATGTTAATTTTATGATTGATAGCGTGAGGATTTTAGCGGGCCAACAGCCATAGATTTATCTATGAGATTCAGCAATCTGAGGTGAGTTTCCTCACTGGGTTTAGCGGGTCGAAGGCACCAATGCCGACCCATGATTATTATGTTAGGATGCTAGAAGTCTGCGTGACTCTTGCATGTGTTATGTGTTGGTATGTATACTGAGCGGGGCTCGATGCCGGGAGAGGCCCGATGACTGCTTTGTATGACATTGGCTTTGTGATTATCGTATGTGTTAGCATGATTATATGTTTATTTGTTTATATGTGTACCGGGAAGGGACCGATGTTGGGTGAGGCCTAATGAATGACAGATCTGTAATCCGAGCGGGGATCGATGTAGGGCGGGCCCGAGGCTGAGTGAGACTCGATGTCGGGCGAGGCCTGATGTGGGGCGGCGGCCCGGTATGTGTTTATTTATGTATGATATGTGGTATTTTGGGGAACTCACTAAGCTTTGAGCTTATGGTTTTTAGTTTATGTTTCAGGTACTTTAGGATCGAAAGGGAAGAGCCCAGGATGATTGCAGAGCACACACCACATTTTTCTGCATGTTGAGATTTACTCTAATATGATATGATGTAGTGACATACTTTGTTCTATTTGGGTTGTATGACAATGTTTTGAGGTATCGTTTATTTAAATTAAAAATGAAATTTCTGGGTCTTATTTTTGGGACGTTACAAAAACATGAAGACATAACCCAGTCTTTGTTGCGTTATCATCATAGCAAATGACTATGTTTGAAACATGGTTCGTGTCACACCGACACGGGTCGTGTTCATTTCTTATCTTATATTTGAGCAACATGACTCTGTGGTGAAGCTAGACTGATGAAGGAGCCAGCAGTGAAGACTTATTCGACTTTAAGCAAAAAGCATGGGTCATGCTAAAAACACATGGTCAAGACACATGGCTATGCCAAAAACACATTGGCAAAAGGCATGGCCATGCTAAAAACGCATGGTCTCATGGAATGCACGTGAACAGCTAATTATAGTGCTAAATTAGAGGAGATCGACACTTTTCAGAGACAAACCGTTTTGGGAGCTTTCTCTGGCGATTGTTGGAGATTTTGAGAACTCTTGAAGGCTATTAATCATTGCAAAAACTTTTGATTTCCTTTTGTAAGTATTAAACATTTCCAATTCCATCTTTCTTTTTGATTGATTTGTTCTTAGCAATGTGTGGCTAAGAAACCCTAATTTCTAGTTCTTGTTCAAAACATGTCGATTGCTTGACTTGAAGCATGTGATTTGATGTTTGATTTGTGATTCTATTGTAGTGATTATGTTTTTGTTTAAACTAGAACCCTTGAATTTGATTTGTGTTTGATTGGCCACTTTCATGAATTGAATTTTTATGTAGTTAATTAACTTTTAGGGCACCTAATCGTTCTATTAAGTTATTAATTGGTAACAAACAATAAGTTTTCTTATTGTAAAACATATATCACATGTTTTCACACTTACGAACGTATGAGAAGAAATGAACATTGTAGGGAAGCTTGTACAAAACTTAATGCAGTTTTTCAATACAATCTAAGAGCGTGTTTAGGTTGAATTAGTAAAGCTAGGTCTAGTCAAAGAGCGTGTTTTGGTTAGATAATTTGGCAAGCGAGAGGTATTAGAGTGTGTTTATATCTTTCAGTGCAACTTAGAATAACAATCATGAATTACATCAAGTCATAATCAAGTTGAACGACAACATTGAGAACTAGAACTAGAACCATTTAATCAAATTGTTTACAAGTTTATTTCATTTTCTGCATGTTTTTAAAGTAGTCTGTTATTTTATTATTTTACTTTTGCAAACAAAACCCATTTTTGTGATCAAAGTACCTTGCGCAAAGCGGTATAGACTTTGATCCCATGTCTCTGTGGTTCGACCCTGCTTACCTTGTACTACTTTTTAGTGCATTAAAGCAGTGTATTTGGAGTCTGTTGCATCCCTATTATTTGTTGGGTTTGACACCCCTAACATTATCTCTATTGTTGTTCAATTGCTACTCTTCTAAGTATGTGTAATGTATATAATTTTCACCTATAGAAATTAATATGAAGTGAAACACTGGATGCTATTGTTGTTCAATTTGCTATTGTTATGAACATGTTTAATATGATCAAGAAATCTACGTGAAGCCCTTTTGGGTAATTTTACACATATAAACAATTTTTTTTATCAACACTAAAAATGACTTATCAGCTTATAGCGTTTTGACACCAAATAAGCTAATCTAAACATATTTTTAAAAACCCCATTTTGACACCGCTATAACTTAATAAGCTATAGGTTAAAAAGTTAAAAACATCTTTAATAAGCATAGCCAAACAACCTCTAAGAATACGATTTGAAAAAATTTCAAAATTTATCTTTTAATACATCTAAGGTTGTAGACTTTGGTCGTAATTTTGGAAGAATGTTTCTTGTATACTTGTACTAGTATTCTTTCAACACAAGGGCATTTTGGGGAAACGAATAATCATATACTATATGTCAAATCTAAATTTTAAATGACGTTATGCTCTTTCGTTTTTAGGTAGTCAATTTTTAATTATAAATGATGATGTTATTCTCTTTCTTTTTAGGTGGCAATACATCGAACATATATTCTACTTTGATTTTGGTCGTTTACGTTATATAAAGAGTTAAAAATATTAGGAGCCGGTGTAAAATAAACATATTCGATAAGTTGGTTTGTTAATAGGTTAGAACTAGTTGGGTCCTGACATTTACTTTTTTAATGCACATCAAAATCGTTGGCATGTCAAGATTTTTTTTTTTTTTTTTTTTTTTTTTTTAAATGGGGCTGGGTAATTCCACAGCTCTATTTATTCGTCCACTGATTTTTAAGTTTTAAGGGAAATTGACAAAGATGTCCCTCATTTATGATAGTTAGTCTTGGTTTCTCTTTCGTACCAAGGTTGTCTTTTTTTTTTTTTCGTCAATACTCAATGGTGTACCAAGAATCCCAAATCATGGTATCATCATTTCTTTGTTCATTCGTGTTGCATCTTTAATAACCTTTAATCTGAAATAACCATTACACAAAACCAGCACATGGACATAAACACAACATATTCTCCATATGTCACCTATGGTGGAATACAAGTTGCCCCAAATGAGATCGATTCAAATCGGAACACGAACATGAGATTGCATCAAACCACTTCATCTATGAGATAATAGCTCAGGTGAGTTAGCGAGCTTTCACCATCGATTTCTCCTTCGCTGTCGCTTCAAAATTGTTCCCACATTCTAATGGCATTCTAACTGACCGGATCGTCGATGGGGATACAAAAAACTTCAGCGGTGATATTTTGGGCTTTCCATATTTTTGATTTAAAGATTGGTGAAAACCAAGCTCTGCCGACCATTAATAAAGAGACCAGATCCGGTGACGTAAAGATAATGACAGAACATGCGGTGAAAATAATCGTTGGAGTATCAGTTATGATTCCATTTGTGAATGTTCTTGCCTTGTGTGTGTGGTGGAGGAAGAAGAAAGGCAAGAAGAAGAAGAAGAAGGATATCGTGTTGCGATGAACAAAATTGGGAACCTAGGGGTATAATTGCCATTTCCTTTAAATTTGTGGATTTATTAAAAAGAGCCGTGGAGTTATCAGCTCCCTTTTTCAATTGTATATTGTATAAATAATTAGGGTATAATACTATAATATATTGTAGTATATTAGATCGCAAATATCTTATTTTTGTGTAGGTCTACCTAAAAGTGGTGAGCGGCCCAAGTTCTTATCTTATTTTTGTGGGCTGGCCCAAGTTCTTATCGTATTTTTGTGGGCTGGCCCAAGTTCTTATCTTATTTTTGTGGGCTGGCTTTGATTTAGTTTCGGCCTGGACTTTGGATGAAACTATTATTAGGTTTGTCACTCGTGTCCTGTCACTGGCATAGTCACAGTTCACAGAAAAACCGATTCAAACACCATTGTTAGGGTTTTCATATTTTCTTTTCTCCAGATCGTTGTTCATCGCTCCAGAAATCAACAAAAACGATGGGACTCCAAACACAACCCTACGGTATCCAGGGGATGCTCAAAGAAGGGCACAAACATCTTTCTGGATTAGATGAAGCTGTTGTTAAGAATATCGATGCTTGTAAACAACTTTCTACCATTACCAGAACTTCTCTTGGTCCCAATGGTATGCATTTTTAATAAGCTATATACTCGTTTTCTGCATCGTTATAGGTTTACTTACGTTGTTTACCCTGTTCCTTTTTGTTTTAGGTATGAACAAAATGGTGATCAATCATCTGGACAAGCTATTTGTGACAAGTGACACTGCAACTATTGTAAATGAGCTTGAGATCCAGCATCCTGCAGCAAAAATATTGGTTTTGGCAGGAAAAGCACAACAGGAGGAAATTGGTGATGGAGCCAATCTGGTAGTTTCTTTTGCAGGGGAGCTTCTGCAGGGTGCAGAAGATCTCATTAGGATGGGACTACATCCCAGTGAAATCATTATCGGATACACAAAGGCAATTAACAAAGTAAGCTTCAATCATTTCATATTTTGATGGGAAGGGAAAACGTTTTTCTTCTCTAACTGTAGAACTGTTCATTAGAGCAAGGATTTGTACATGTCTCGTTTGGGGCACCTGTTTGGTTATAGATGGCATTACATTACATTCCATGATCATGGTTGTGTTGTAATTATAACTACTAAGTTATTATTTTCAAATAAATTCGTAATAAAAATATGTTGTAAATCAATAAAAACTGAGATCTTTTTGAAAAAAAAAATCATACATAAAAGTAGGTCATGTTGCAAATGTAATGAAACAGAACACTCCCAGGCTAAAGAAAGAAAATTAACAAATACTAATGTAATGAACCATTTCATATAGAACCTACCTAAGTGTTTTAAGCACACATAAGACCAGGTTACGAGTTTGAGGTGTATAGTTTGACAACAAACAAAAATCATAAACTGATAAACATCACTCTATTTTTACATTACAGGTTGTCCAGATCTTAGAGGATATGGTTGAGAAAGGTTCTGAGACGATGGATGTGAGGAACAAAGATGAAGTTATTCTAAGGATGAAAGCTGCTGTTGCTAGCAAACAATATGGACAAGAAGATATTTTGTGTCCTCTTATTGCAGATGTACTACTTGTCTTTTCTTTTCTTGTTAAATGGGTATCATTCATTAGGTCAAGTTATAAGGACGACTGACTTTTTTTTTGTGTTAATTTTGCTTTTCAGGCATGCATACAAGTTTGCCCAAAGAACCCTGTGAATTTCAATGTTGACAATGTGAGAGTTGCAAAACTTGTAGGGGGAGGTCTGCATAACTGTACAACAGTTAGAGGAATGGTCTTAAAGGGTGATACTGTAGGGAGTATAAAGAAAATTGACAAGGCAAAGGTGAGTGCTTCTTCTTGGACTTTCTTTTTTAAGCATCATGAACTTTTCTACAGTGTTTGGTTTGTGGATTTTAACCTTGCTGTAAATTTTAGTATCCATATTGGAAACAAAACATATAAGTACATTGCTATTTTACATTGCTGTTATCAGGAAAGTACATTAATCTAATTTGTAAAGAATGTGAGTAATTTTCCATTCATTCTAAGTAAGTGATTGTTGAAGAAAATATAGATATGTGAAATTGTCTATTGGTTTTGTCAGGTGGTTGTGATAGCTGGTGGTGTTGATACAACTGCAACCGAGACCAAAGGAACTGTCCTCATTCACAGTGCTGAACAGGTATTAAGTGCTATCTGGATTAAGTAAGTGATATCAAAAAAGTATTTGATAAAATAATGGCATGCTTGAAAAAATAATATAAAAGTTTGGTTATTAATGTGGAAAGACTTTTTCTATTAAGCTGTCAAAAGCAAACACTCCTATATTTATTTCTTAATATATCAGGTCCTATTTTCATTATGTAATAAAGAAACAACATTCAAAGGAAAAAAAGTTGATTTCCTTCTACACATGTTTGGGCAGATGAGATCATTTATAATTAAGAATGACAGTCAAATACTGGATTGTTAGCGTGAAATTGATCTAATGCATCAAAGTGTGGGAAGTTTTAGTATATATTGATTGGGTATAATGTACATAAAACTTAGGGTCAGATGCAGTGTACTTCCATTTCTTTCTTATATAGCATTGTACTTTCAACTTATTAAAGTAGAGTCTCGTGTGGTAGGTAGAAACAGAATTATTGAAAGTTGCTATTTCTTGCATCTGACAAAATGCCAATTGAATTTATTAACAAGTATTCATTTGTTAGTTAATGTTGCAACTAATTTTTGGGATATGACAAGAAATAGCATAAGGTGGACATTGGCAAAAATAGCAATAAAAGTGTATATGTTTGAATGTTAAACTAGTTGAGTGTGTTTTGAGTGTGAGTTTGTATAAATGGTTGAGTTTTACAAGAGTGCAAAGTGCATCACTGTTTTGTTTGTATGAGAAGTTGGGTTATTGAGGTCATCTATCATCTATATGTAGATGTTTAGTATAATAAGCATCATATTTTTGTTACATCAGCTTGAAAATTATGCAAAAACTGAAGAAGCAAAGGTTGAAGAGCTGATCAAAGCAGTTGCAGACTCGGGAGCAAAGGTTATAGTTAGTGGAGCAGCTGTAGGAGAGATGGCTCTGCACTTCTGTGAGCGTTACAAGTATGAACTATCAAGTGCATTTTATATTTTATATTTCATATTTCAAATTGTTTGTATATTATTATTATTTAATATGTGTGATTCATTCATTTACAGGATCATGGTCTTAAAAATCGGCTCTAAATTTGAGCTTCGCCGCTTTTGTCGCACAACTGGTGCTGTTGCTCTTGTAAGCATCATGTTTTAGTGTTTGTTTCAACTTTGAATATATAATATATAATATATATAAAATTGGTAATAATTTATATAATTGCAGTTGAAGCTTGGTGCTGTGAACCCTGATGACCTTGGATATGTTGACTCCATTTCTGTAGAGGAAATTGGTGGTGCTAGGGTATGTATGAGATTATGAAACATCATTTCTTGTTTGTTTGGTTTGGTGACTGAGACTGATGTCGAAGAGGAAAAAAAATAACAGTTTTTTATAAAGACAAAAATACCCCTGTTGTTTGTTGTGTAGGTGACTGTTGTAAGAAACGAACAAGGTGGGAATTCTGTGACAACGGTTTTGCTGCGTGGAAGTACAGATAGCATATTGGATGATCTGGAAAGGGCTGTTGATGATGGTGTAAATACTTACAAGGTAATCTGGACCTTCTTTCTCATCATATTCTGAACATGTCACCTGGTTTATTCCAAGATAAAATGCATTACTGTTTGGATAAATTATATTTTTATTTTAGGCGTTATGCAAGGACAGTAGAATTGTGCCTGGAGCTGCAGCCACTGAAATTGAATTAGCAAGAAAACTGAAGGAGTTTTCTTTCTCGGAGACAGGGTGGGTGATCTGAGTGATTGATTTTTGTTTGACTAAATTTGTTTTGTTTGACTAAATTTGATTGATATGATGCACAGATTAGATCAGTATGCAATTGGAAAATTTGCAGAGAGCTTTGAAATGATACCAAAAACATTAGCTGAGAATGCTGGGCTTAATGCTATGGAGATCATATCTACTTTATATGCGGATCATGCCAATGGAAATGTCAAAGTGGGTATAGATTTGGAGGAAGGAGCATGTAAGGATGTCTCCACATTGAAGATATGGGATCTCTTTGTCACCAAGTATTCTCTCTCTCTCTCTCTACATGTAAAAAGGTTAGGTTAGGAGGACTTAAATAAATGATGTTTTGTTTGTTTGTTTGTTGTATTTAGGTATCATGCGCTCAAGTATGCTGCTGATGCAGTTTGTACTGTTCTACGTGTTGATCAGGTAAACTTTTTTTATTTCCATTAATTATTTGTTATTATGCTGCAAAATGGTTTTTACTAAATCTTGTAAATATTGTTGCAGATAATAATGTCGAAACCAGCTGGTGGGCCAGGCAGGAGAGATCAACAGCCAATGGATGAGGATTAAGAGTGAGAGATGGGATGTGTTTGAGACTTGAGAGACATTTGGCTTAGAGAGTAAGTAGTAATATGGATATGATATGTAGTTTTTGTATTATTCACGATTTGAGATTTTGAAGGAGGTCTAGTCTGGTCTTTAAGACGTTTTATGTTTATATCATATCCACATGCGTGTTTTGTTTTGCCAAATTATATAAGCATCCATCAGAATACAATGTTTGAGGTTGTGGTTAAATATTTCTATTTTCATAACTAATGCCAAACGTATGAAAATACCCATTTATTCTTCTCATTTTTTTATTTGAGACCATGAGCTAGGTGTATAGGTTCTGCAATCCTCTGGATAACGGTGTAGTGTAGTTCAGGGGTTTTTGTCATAAAAGCCCCCAAATTTACATAAGAAAACCGGTTATCCCAAAAATCGATTTTTTTTGCCAAGGATGCCTCACATATGCCCCTCGTGTTTTATTTTAATGTTTTTCACCGGTTCCCTTTACCAACTGGTTACATTCCCCTTTTTAACGCCCAAAAATCATTGTCTTCTGTTAACATTGATCCAAAGTCTTTCCCCCGTCTTTTATTCTCTCCATCGTCTTCTACCCTGAGTCTCTCTAAAATGTTGACTTCGTCTGCCAAATCAAGCTTCCAAGGTGGTCCAACATCGAGAAAGAAAAGAATAGTTAGATGTGGAAGAAAAGAATAGTTAGATGTGGCTGTGGAGATGTGTGTAAGGTATCTGTTGCTCGAACACCTGAGAACTATGGAAAAAAGTTTTACGGGTGCCCTAATTACCAGGTAAACAATTTGCCCTAATTTTTAAATTTCTTGAGAAACCCTGAAAAAAGATATGTAATTCATACAAATAACTGTTTTTCTAGGTGGAAGGAGAGGACTGTGGTTTTTTCAAATGGTACAATGAAGAAGATGACCACATTATCGACCCAACTCACACAAAGCAGGGGCAGGGGCAAGGGCATGGACAGTTGAAGACTTTGGTAGAAATAATTGTAGGTCTCTTAGTTTTTATTTTTGTAATGGTGACAATTAGGGTGTGCAATAAACCGCACAAACCGCATAAACCGTCCGCACAGCACCAAACCGCACCGCATAATGCGATTTAAAACACTCGCGGTGCGGTTTGCGGTTTGTATTTTTGTTAAACTGCATTATGCGGTGCGGTTTGCGGTTTACGATTACAAAATTGCGGTTTAAACCGCACCGCATTCATAAAATCAATTAATGATATATATATATATATATATATATATATATATATATATATATATTCGAAAATATTTTGACATGTCCTAAATTAGTGACACTATCTTAAGTTTTTAAAATGTAATCTTAATTAATCCAAAATTTAACGCAATTACCATATTTTTTTGTCCCAAATTCATTTTCAACTAAGATTCAGTGACAATTATTTTATGGTCACTATGTTTTCTTAACTTATGTATATTCATAAGTAGTTAATGACCACAATTATTTGACCACCAAATTTCTTAATGACCACTTAGTGAGCCGTTAGTGATGACAATGACAGTATTATCATTAAATTTAAAGTAAATAATTAGTCAAACAGTAAAACCGCATGTAAACCGCATAAACCGTCCGCACCAAACCGCACCACATAATGCGGTTTTGAACGTTCGCGGTGCGGTTTGTGGTTTCTAAATAACTCAAACCGCATATGCGGTGCGGTTTGCGGTTTTGGCTCTAAACCGCACCAAACCGCACCGCGCACACCCCTAGTGACAATAGTTGTTTTGAAGATGTAAATCATTTTGGATTGACTTTTGGTAGAATGTTTGGATCGACTTGGCTTTTGGAAGAATGTTTGGATCGATTTTAGTTGCAAATTATTTGTGAAATACAAATGGTAAACTATAATGATGAAATGGTACATAACAAACATATGATACATAATATAGATGCAAATGGAAGTACAATGCTGAAATTGGCTAGTAACTGTTGTTTTGGATGAATATTTTAGTTACAAATTATTTGTGAAATGCAAATGGTAAACTACAATGATGAAATGATACATATCAAACTTAACAAACATATGGTACATAATATAGATGCAAATGGAAGTATATTGCTGAAATTGGCTAGTAACTGTTGTTTTGGATGAAGATTTTAGTTACAAATTATTTGTGAAATGCAAATGGTAAACTACAATGATGAAATGATACATATCAAACTTAACAAACATATGGTACATAATATAGATGCAAATGGAAGTACAATGCTGAAACTGGCTAGTAACTATTGTTTTGGATGAAGATTTTAGTTATAAATTATTTGTGAAATGCAAATGGTAAACTACAATGATGAAATGGTACATATCAAACATAACAAACATATGATACATAATATAGATGAAATTGGCTAAATAATAAAGTACAATGCTGAAATTGGCTAACCGTAGTTATAAATGGTACATAATATAGATGCAAATGGTATGGATAAAAAAAACATAATATAACCGTAACAAACATAACAAACATATTGATCCATAATAAACATATTATAACCATAATGGGGGGATTCATTACATCATATTCATGTACCATTACAAAAGATTACAAAAGATCAACTAACATGTACCATCTATCCATTTGTACCAAATTGCCTAAAATATATCCCAAAAAGGCAACCCAACAGGTACATGAGAACAACTGGATGAAAGGTGCACTTAGTGGGTGTATAAACTAAGATGTACAAAATGTACCAAAAATGGCTTCCTATGCAAATGCCTAAGTATACCATCCCCACCTAAATCCCCCATATACATACCTAACTACTCCAAATTGATTGGATTTAAACATGTGGAAACACCCCCATCTTTATAAAAAACTGCCTTTTTAAGCTTTAGTTTAGTGATCCTCTCCGATGACTTTCTTTTCCTTGTCTTAGGCACTATCAGATGACCTTCATCATCAGCCTCATTCCCATCAGCATCAACCTCATTATTTAGAACATCATCAGCAGCCTCATTCCCATCATTAACACCTTCACCTTCACCTTCAATCACATCACCATCATCTTGATTTTCAACACCTTCACCTTCATCATTTAGAACATCATTTAGAAAGTCAACTTCACCTTCATCAACATCAGGCTCATCCTCATTTAAGTCCTGATGCAAAAAATAACAAACCTATATAAAGGGGAAAAACATATATTTAAAATTACAAGGTTAATAAATTACCATCTCAACTGGTGAAGTGTCATCAAGTTCAATTTCCAACCTCCCCATGCTTTCAATTTCAGCAATGGAATATCATGCTTCAAGTAAATCTGCTATTCCTTCAACACTTATCTTGATTTTGTCTGGGAGAACATCTGATGCATGTCCTTCAGTGAATTCAGGTTCTGCACGACCTTTATTCACCAATGGAACATCAGATGCATCTGATGCATTTCCAGAACCAAAAATTTGATCAATTGTATCTCCAACTTCATCGAGACTCTGTTTTAGATCTTGGGCAACCTTTACTGGAACATCAACTGCTTCTTCTTCTAGCACCATAATGGCATCTTCCTCTTTTATCACCTCATTCACCAAAGGAACATCATTAACAACAGGAACTTGAGCAACATTATTTGGAATATCATTAACAACTGGAACTTGGTTATTGACCAAATGAACTTCATTAACAACTGGATCTGGCACCTTCATTGACACCTCAGTTTCCTCCTCTTCTATCACCTCATTCACCAAAGGAACATCATTAACAGCAGGAGCTTGAGCAACATCATTTGGAATATCATTAACAACTATAACTTGGTTGTTGACATCATCCTGAAAATTGGTTGTTGACTTCCTAAGATTTGGATTTCTTACACCCAATTTCTTCCTTCTAACACCTGGAACAGTTACTTCACTTGACTGACTAGCCACATATGCAATGCCACCAGCTCTGAAACTTAGGCCTCTTAAACCTAATTTCCTCATTTTCTTGCCAGTGTTAGAACTTGAAGCATGTAGACTGTCTTGTTGACTTGCCTCTTAAACCCAATTTCTTCCTTCTAACACCAGGAACAGTTACTTCACTTGACTGACTAGCCACATATGCAATGCCACCAGCTCTGAAACTTAGGCCTCTTAAACCTAATTTCCTCATTTTCTTGCCAGTGTTAGAACTTGAAGCATGTAGACTGTCTTGTTGATTTGCTTGTTGACTAGGTTGAGTGGGTACAGTTGATGTCACAGGTGGTTGACTGGCATGTTGATTGGATCCAGAAACATATGGATTGGATCCAACTACATCAAATTTCCTAGGCCTCCCAATCTTCTTTGGTGGCATAGGAATTGGTATCTTTTTTTCATTCTTGCAGCCTTTTTTATTATGCCCATACTCAAGACAATTAGTACATCTTACTGTCCTTGGGGGTTTCACCCTTGAAGTGGAACTAAACCTACTCTCTTTCTCACTTGCATGCCTCCTTCTCTTGGTTCTGGGCCTACCATACATTTTCCTACCAACAGGTGAAAAAGGCTTGTTGTATCCAATTAGAGGCCACATATTACTTCCATTCACAGGACTGATGTTTGTAGAGTAGCATTCCTTGAACTTATTCACTGAAAAGTAGTCACTAATATATCCCTATGGAGTTTGATGGATATAATTAATGGTTGTTATGGCATGGACACAAGGGGTTCCAGACAAATCCCATAATCTGCAAGAACAAACCCTACCATCCAAATCTACCTTGTAACTAACACATTCTCTTCTCACTTGAAATACATTTCCTAGGCTATGCACTACTAACCATAGCCTGCATGAAGACAAAAGAGTATTTATTAGTCATTATATATTAATTATAATAACAGTTAGAAAAAAAAACAGTTATTTTGTGTCTTACCTAAAGTTCTTTCCAAAAAGATTCATCTTCTTAATCACTTCTGGACATATATTACCTTTCCATTTACTGCATTCATCAATCATAAAGGAAAACTTGTCCATGATGTATATCCTTATCTCTTCAAGCATTGTAATCAAAGGTTTTTTCCTAGCTTCTACAATTATGGAGTTGAAACCCTCTGAAATACCATTCTCCACTGCCTCACAAGCAAACCCTACACTCATGTAAGCTCTTCACCATGTTTTGGGTTCTTTTGACATTAGATACTTATATTCACTAGGGATTATAGTCTTTATTAATACCATGTTTCTCAAGAAGTCACCTTCAACACAACTCATTGCACAAAGCTTCTTCAA